ACACACACACACACACACACACAATTATCAGAGGTATGATAATAAAAATAATAATTATTATCATAATTATTATTTTTATTTCAAAGCAAAAAGGAAAAATCTCTATCTGTCTCTATCTGCCTGTGTCATTTGAAAGAATTAGTTTGCACGTCTTCTTCTTTATGACAGATGATTAAATTTAAAGATAACAATGTTTTAAAGGCTGAAAAACTGCCAACCGTCACTCTGCCATTTGTAACAATCAGAAAGTCGTCGGTCTGATGAGACGGAGACGTGAAGCACCTCAACAGTTTGTAGTAAAACAGCTACCTCAATTAAAACCAACAACATGTGGCGGAGAGTAAAGAACTCCATTTCCCAGCAGTCAGCAGGAGCTTCCAGACAACAAGCAGTTAATGTGAGACATGACCATATATGGCGAGTCTCTGTAGCCAATCAGCTCAGTCTGCCACTCTGTCTCCTCAAATTACAAATAAAAACAGACCAATCTGGTGTCAGTATAAATCCTGTCTCTCAGCCAATCAGAGCGCCCGCTGGCTCATTAAGACTTAGAATGATGAAGAACAACTAGACCAGCCAATCACGTTATCGGACACTGCAGGGCGACTCAGCTGCTCAGAAGTGTCTGAAACAAACATGGCCGCCTCACGTCAGCCAAAGTCATTAAAGGCGATTAAACACAAATTTAATGGACGTTAGTTCGTCACTGCTGACGAGTTTAACGAAGCTGAAAACATGAACATTTTTTTATTTCTCTGATGATGTCACAGTAAAATCTGACCGACGGCTCCTTTAAAAAAAAGATTCCTGCTCGGAGCGTCTTTATTAGTCGAAACTTTTTGGACTGAAGACGTTTGAAGTTTGAAGTTAAACTGAGAATTTAAGATTTGACAGTTAATAAATGGTTTAATAATCAGACTAATCAGTGATTATTGATCATTAGTCATTGGCTGTTGAGCAGAGCTGAAGCTGATTGGCCGGTCTGGTGAGTGGATTTAAAGTGACGGTGTACAGAGGTGATGACTGATGATTAAAAGTAGTGAGATTAGAGATCAGATGATGATATTTCACTAATCAAACTAACCCGAGGCAGAAAGTTATAAAAACATTAACTGACGTTTGACACTCTTTTATTTTTTTTTAAGTTTTATCATTACTAAATGTCTCATGTGTGGGCGGAGCCTGGTGGGTCAGAGCGGGAAGATAATAAAGAAATAAAATCTGCAGCCATTTAAGACAAAAGAAATATATAAATATAAATATATATATACATTTAAAAAAACATCTTGGAAAAAAAACAAAATGTACATTTAGAAAAAAAATCTGATGTTTCATGTCATTTTGTCTTTGTGCTCTCCTGCCAAAAAAAAAACCACACAAAAAAACCCATCTTGTGACAGAATCGTTGATCCAAAGCCGCCGCGCCGAGACAGGAAGTTATATTTAATTACAAAACAAAAGAGCATGTTGCCTCTGCAGGTACAGACAGACAGACAGACAGACGGACTGATGATGATCGCTGACGGTGCTTTTAAAAAGGGTTTGAATGTTTTTTTATTCTTCAGTGTGGAGACAGACTGACATCAGACTTTAATCACATTAATTAAATTAATCATCAGATAATCAAAACATCCACTGATGCATATGAATAAACGTCTTTACCAGAGTCACTTCTTTAAGATTTTTTTTTTTTTTTTATTTGGATGCTGTGAAAAGAGAAAAAAACTTTTTGTTAAAAACTAAACTTTTTGTTTATCAGGCTAAACACTGCGCTGTAACCTCAGATATGTTTCCTGTTTTATTCTCCAATAATCTGCCAATAACTCTTCTATAATGACATCATAGTTCAGATGTATTTTCAGCTTGTTCTGCCGTTCAACAACAAAAAAACAAAGACCAACAAGCTTTAACTATTTTTAAACTTTAAAATAAGTTGCAGACTTCTGTGTTTGTGACGACCAAATATGTTCAAGACTAAACTGTTGTAACATCATGAGGAAAAAGTCGGAATATTAAAGAATAACTGTGCTGTGTGACTCTGTGTCGCAGTCACAGAAAACTTCTTTAATGAAACAAACACCTTCAGGTCTTTAATAACGTCCACACATCTGTCTACACAAAGTCTACCTGTCTGAGTGTCAGTGAAGGCATCATCAGTCTGTCTCAGACTCTGACAGCTGAGCTATGCAAAGAGTCGAGAGCTTTACTCTGTAGTGTCTGCAGGGCTGTGAAAAAACTTTATTCAGTGTTTATAGACGACAATCTAAAATTTTGTGTTTCTCCTCTCAGACTTATTCTGCAGAGCTTCCAGACAAAATTTAGTGAGACAAAAATGAAACACAAAAACAATAAGAATTAAAAATTTATTTTGGTGGAAAGTCAAATATTTCTCCAGGTGTCAGGGAGTCGATTTTGGCAAATTTGACCTTAGTGTTTCTAAAATCCTGCTGAGGGCCTCCAATATGTGAATCCCTGAAACTTTAAAAACCAAACGAGTCTAAAGAATCCACCTGTCTGTCTTTCCGTCTGTCTGTCCGTCCGTCTGTCGGCTGCAGGTTTTGATCATCGATTCTGTCTGACAAACTTCACCATCAGCTGGTTTCCGTCAGAGAGCGTCTTGCTGTTCAGAGTAGATTTCTCTCACAGCTTTTTTAAGAAATTCTAATTTTTATTTCAGCTTCATTTTACTGTAGAGGATTTTCTCTTTTTTTTTTAGATATTTTTTAAAAATATTTTCAGTGATTTTTTTTAGCCAAAAACATTGCCAAAGTGTTTTTAACCTCCAAAAATAAAATAAAAAACAAAAACGCAAGCTTAAAGGGAAAAAGATGATTTTTGTTTGTTTTTTTATTTTTGTCTCTCGACAGTTTTATCGCTGGTGCTCCTAAAAAGCTAAATCAATAATCATGACATTAAATAAGTTTCTCACCTTTAAGTCTTTT